CTCGTCTCTGATTTGGTTTAGCCTCCTTTGTTCTCTAATTTAATACTTGATTGGAACCTATTACTAACCTTGCTTTCACTTTCTATTCTTGGGTGTGAAATTTAATTTATATTTTCTTTTCATCCACATTTAACTATAACCCATGCTTCATATTCAACTTCATTCTTCTAGTTCCATGTAGTGTCCTTTAAGAAACTGGTCTGGCTGGAAGTCTAAGATTAGCATACGTGCTACACTGATAAAGCTTTTATTGGGGATTCTGTTTCTGTGCATCAGTGTTTAGTAGTCTTGGACTCAAATGGACCCAGGCAGCGATTTTTTTTTTCATTTGCTTTGCAGAAGGTAAAGAATGGGGTTTGGATGCAGTGTAAGGAAATTAGATATGAGCACTTATCTGGCTCCCTAAACAGAAACAGGTGTTTAGGAAAAGCTAATGGAACACAAAAACTGCACTGTGTAACAGCTTTAAATGTTTCAAGAAAAGGGTGTCATACTGTTCAGGCGAATTCATAATCAGATATGTAATATGGGAAACTTTACAGACAACAAGAGATGCTAGAAGAAATGTAAGGCGCGTTTTACAAGAGGACTCACTGACAAAGATTATCATCTCTTTATGGAGGCTGTAAGACAAAAATTCTCAGTTGATTTCAGTGAATTCTTGGGGCTGAATAGTTTTGGTGAGTGATAGGCTATGTGTCACACACAAACCAACAATAACAAGCTCCAAAGAGGTTTCCAGTTTGCAGTGGGTGGAGGTGACTCCCTATCATATTACCCCCAGCAACAGGGAGGCCAGCATGGGAGGCAGCCAGGAGAGCCTTTCCACAGTTACTTCCATCCCAGCCTGTGATTTAATGGATAAAAATGTATATAAAAATGTTAAACATTCTTGTTATTTTTTTTTGTTTTAGTGTTGTTAAGTAGATAATTGAAGATCAATTTGTGAGTCATACAAGAAAAACATTTCATGACTTGAGTCATATATATTTTTTAATTTAATTCAAGTCAGGTGAAAGGATATCCATTTCTCCATAACTCACCATATTCACCGTTAGATGAATTTTGGCCATTAAAAAAAACAACAAATCTTTTATCAAATGAAAGCAGATTCACCACTTAAGGGATATAAAAAAATTTCTCAGATTCTGAAAAGCATATCTCTAAGAGGAACTTGAAGCGTCTTTTGAAGAAGTAGCACCATCATTGAAATAATTATGTCATGTCAGGTTGTCTCTGCTTGGAAGAAGATGAATTATTTTGAGTATATGAGTTTTTATGGTTGTGCTTAAAGAGACAATCCTATTTATTATGGGTTTCCTTTATCATGCTGTTTGACTTTTGAAGACCTAGATGTGTCAGAATCATAATTATGAAGGCCAGTTCTCATCTTTACACTGTAGATTAAAACAAAAGAGAGAGGGTATTTTCTTTTCTATTTTAATGTGTCCTAAGACAAGTGCTGAAATATAGCTTCTTTTAATTGAGTTTCTAGCTAAATGAATCTGAATCAGTTTAGCCAATAACGTTATAGTTATTGTTATTTTTCAGTCATAGGAAAGAGTTCTCTTGTCAATTGGCTTCTCTTACTGGGATTTTTCACTCCACCCCTTACTCTGAAGATGCAGAGGATTATAATAACTCAGCAGACAATGTTTGAAATGGGAGTATAAAGGCTTAGGCTCTATCATCACAGGCGTTATTCCTTAGGTCCAGCGCTGCTGGTGGATGAGAAGCCATTGACATCACCTGGGAGCTTCACAGAACTACAGAGACTCAGGTCCCACCCCTGACTAGAATTATAATCTGCATTTTAACAAATCCCCAGGTGATTCAGATTCACATGTACATTAGAGTTTGAGAAGCACTCATCTGTAAATTTGACAATAACTTATAAAGGGTTTCAAGAAACAATTGTGGGGTCAAAAGGGATATGTGTTAAGAATTTAAGGAGTTTATTTTGAATATATAATCAGAGGTAGCAAAACTTTTTCATTTGAGGGAGGAGGGTGCAAAATAAAAAGTGCTAGCAGTGTGCCCAAAACAGGTAGACGTAAAAACATAATCCAAATAACATGCAGGCTTTTGGCCATCCTGAGTGTGAAGAGATTTGACTTTACTCAATGATTTTTCTTCTATTGGAGCATTCAATAGAGAATGCATATAAACTAAAGTTAGCAAGCATTCATTGTGCTTACTAAATGTAAAAAATGATGCTAGATAGTAGAGAATACATGGACAGCTAGGAAAATTTCTTCATTCTTAAGGGCCTTGCCTGGCACTTCAAAATTACTTATTGAATTGAAATGCAGAATTGAGGATAGGTAGGTGAACGACAAGTTCTAATATAAAGTAGAATAGAAGTAGCTCTTAAATAGATCCAAGTGATACTTTGTGGGAATGGGAGGAAAGAAACAGCATTGCCCATCTCCCCTCATAACTCCCCACACAAGCATTTTTTCTTTTTAATGGTAGCTGCGTGGGTGTTCTTACTCTCACACTGTCCTACCCAAGTGAACTCAGTTTCAGTAAGAATAATTCTATGCTGATGACATTTCATATTTAGATCTGTGACTCCAAATATTCTTTCTACAAAGACCGAGACTGGGCATTGAAGGAAAAGTAGGTTTTCTGCGTGTCCAAACGGCATCTGGGCATAGGGAAGAGTGTGCACAAGGAGGAGAGGGCCCGCACTCTGGCAGTGGAAATGAACAGAAAGTCGTGATTTTTGTGGTGGCGGGGATATGAGAGGGTATCAAAAGGAGATGCTTTGGAAGTGATGAACAGGTATATTTCAGGCATTAAAAAATAACGCTGACTAGCCAGAAGTAAACTTGAATATTGGTTGAAGAATTATCTTCAAATTGGAGTAATCTTTGACCTAACTAAGATTACCTCCTTCCTCTCTAGAAGTTGCTTAGGCAGGGAGAATAAGTAGACAGAGTTAAATGGACTGAGCACTTCATCAAATTTGGGGGTTATAAGTTAATGAACATTTTCAGATTTAATAGTAAAATACTGTCCAAGAGCATTTTTCTAAATGTGATCAAGTCACTGCAATTCATTATGTTTCAAAGTATAACTTGGTATGAATCCTTAAAATAAGTATAATAAATATGCTTCTATTTCTAGATAACTTATATACCTAATATTTCAAAATTTGGCAACTTGGCAAATGTTGCTTATGAAACAGTATTTACATGCTTGAAACTGATGCAAAGAAATCTTGAAATTTGACTGTTTTCAAGAATTACATTTCTTAATTTTTAGAAGTTACATTTGTTCCCCCCATTCTGTCTGTTTATTCTTACTAGATTCTTATTTGCTTATCTTTGTGATTGTGACCATCGTTTCATTAACATTTTACATAGTTCTTCTATATCCTATGTCAGAAGATTCCAAAATCAGCAGTAACTGGTCATCTAACCTAAAGTTGTTCCTGCTGAAATTCATCCATTTTTGATGCCTTATTTTTTTGGTTTGTGATCTTTGATTGTGAGCTCATTTCTCGATCCTAATTTATGAGCGTCCTTCAAGCCTTAAGATTTCCTTTAGAAAACATTTTCTTTTGCTGCTGCCTGTAGCCAGTGGGGAGCCACTGACATAGAATTACATTAGAATCCCTTGAAGATCTCAACTCAATGAGAAAGTTCAAGTGTTTGCTCCTTTACTTCTACTTACTGGTATAAGGTCCAATATGCTGATAGCAATTCTGCAGTTGGTACCTGCCCTCAGAACAATTCCATCCTTTTTGTCTGTTTACTACTGTTACTTCAATTTCCTAGCTACTCTGACCTCAGCTCAGGGTGCGTGCGTGCGTGCGTGCGTGCGTGCGTGTGTGTGTGTGTGTGTGTGTAAGATTTGTCTCCAAGGCCTAAGCCATCTGCTGCAGCATCAGTAAGGCTTCAAAGCATGCATCCTGTCCAATCCAGTGCCTCGTTAATCTTCAGGGCACTTAGCCATAGTGTCAGAAGCAGATGTCCTCAAAATCACGTTTCATATATTTTTAATCCATTTACATCATAAACCTGAAGATGGATTTATGAAAGCATTCATTTTGGGGGTTATTTGGGCAGGCTTGTAACAGTGATTGTGCAATGTCTTTTAAAAGACAATTAAAAATAACCTATTTATTTTAGAGTAGTTTTAATACTTATAGAAAGATTGTGAAGATAGTACAGAGTTCCAGTGTATCCCACACTGTTTCTCCTATTGCATTTCAAATGTACAAAATAACGCCACTGAAGACAGTAGGAGAAAAAAGTGATGTCCTATAAATGGGCAGAAACTGTAAAAACAAAGAAAGGAAACTACACAAGCATTCTACATTTGTGATATGATTAGATTCTTTTGTCACTTTCTTCATTTCATCTTGGAATTCCCTGACCTCCTAAATAATTTTTTAAAAATCTCCTACATCAAGTTTTGTGCTATAAAGTTCTATGGGTTTTGACAAATGAGTCACATTAGGTGTTCACCATTAAGTATAATCACAGATTATTTTTAGCACCTTGTGCTTTACCTAGTCAATCTACCTCCCCTCACCCAGAATCTAGCAATCACTGATTATTGTACTGTCTTTAGTTTTGTTTTTTCCCAAAATATTATAAAAGTGGAGTTGTACAATGAAAAATGTAGCCTTTTAACTTAGCAATATGCATTCAAGGCTCATTCACATTTTGCATGACTTGATAGCTCATTCCTTTTCATTGCTGAATAGTAGTACATCATATGGATTTACAATTTTGTTTATCCACTCAACAATTGAAAGCCATCTTGGTTGCTCCCAGTTTGTGCAGTTATGAACAAAGCGCTGTAAGAATTCTCATGCAGACAAAAGTGCAATTCTCAGGATTTCTTCTATTTTTATTATTTTCCTTTGGGATATATATTTACACACTTGTTTTAATCAGCAGTATTTTCCATGTACACATGCATGCACAAGCTATTTATGAGGTGGTACATGACATTTCGATTCTTCCCTTACATTTTCTTCACAGATATTCAAGAATTTTATGAGGTGACATTGCTGAATTCTCAAAAAAGTTGTGAGCAGAAGATAGAAGAAGCCAATCAAGTTGTGCAGAAATGGGAGAAGACATCCCTTCTTGCTTCATGCCACGATAACCTTCAAAAGTCTACAGAGGTATATTACTGAGGCTCCTGCAGGAACAAAACACTGTATTTTGCCGTGTGTAACGCACGCCCACATTTTGTGCACATTATGCATGGGATTATTATACCTGTGGTATGTAACCATTATAGCCATGTAAGATGCACATCCTTATTTTTCCCTCAAAAGTTTGGGCAAAAAAGTGTGTATTATACATAGCAAAATACAGTAATAGTATGACTTATGCAAGTAAAGAATAGTACTCATTAGCAACAAATGGCAACACTAATACTAGAAATGTAGTTATAGCTTACTGTTAATGTTATTCTGAATAAAAGGGTTCATTGAGACACATGCTGGCCAGAACATGGCCAGGTGCTGAGGTGTGCAGTCTGAGCCAGCAGGGCTGGATGGAGAAGACAAACGTGTCCACCATGTCCAGTATCCCAGCATTGATGGATCCATTTTATACAATGAGTTTGGGGAAGAAAGGCAGAGCTTGTTTGGAAAGAATTTATATTGGCTATAAATAAGGGGGTGGCTGGGAAAATGTGAAGTGAGGAAAGTCGTGGGATAAGTAAAGAGCCTGTAAGGAAAACACGTTTGATGTCTCTGGATTGGTTGTGGGCAGCAACGCAGAGTGTTGTGCATAAGCAAAATGCGGTGGTGTCTGGTGTTGAGCTGCTTTTTCTAGATAGCTATCTGGATGTTGATGCAAGGTTTCAACATACACCCAGAAATACACCCAGAAATATGAGCAGTCTTTTCTTGGTTTTGGTCTATGACTATAACTGATTGATTTCCCTGGTCTCTTGTTCCCATATGGCCTGCTATAATTTAACTTAGGACATCTCAGAATTTTTAAAAAGTATTTTTAGGCAATTTATCCATGCATAGTCCCACACATACACCTCATTTTACACATGTGATCAAATATATACTTTTTATTCTCAATGCCGTTCTTTTTTTTTTTTTTAACTTTTCCATTTTTTCGTGTCTTCTCTTTCACTCGCTTTCTGCCCATGCTGCATTAGCTCTACTCTCCTCACCTCCAGGGTTACTCATCTCAACAACTGAATGTGTTTAGTCTTTCTTCATTCATGTAGTTCATATAATATGTTTTCATATGTAAACTATATACATGTATATGGGATATACATACATACATACATACTGGAGTATGCTTACATATATATGCACACTGAATTGTGAAAAGTATTTGTTCCTCAAAAAATGTTTGTATTATATGAAAGTTTCTTAAAGTTGTCCGGTATAGCTTTGATTTGTTCTTCTGATGGATGTGTAATATTATAGTGTGAGTATATCATAATTTATTCATTCCTCTCTAGATAAGAATTTACTGTTTCCAATTTTCTGCCATTACGATTAATGCTGCAATCTGCTAATTACATGTACATCCTAATTTACTGATACTTTTATTCTATAGGCTAGATTCTCAGGGTGACACTATTGGCTCCAAGGGTATGTACACCTAATTTGAATAAATGTTGCCAGACCGATTTCACCTTTCACGTTTCCACTGACAATGCATGTTGGTGCAATTTTACCTCACATCCCTCCCAGAGATAGGTGTTGCTGCTCTTCTTATGTCTTGCCAGGAAATTTAATTGGTTTTTGAACAGATGCCAGCATATAAGGATGAATGATGACAAAAATCCACACTGGGTCCTAGCCATTTATTTTTCAATGTCAAAATCAGGATAGGCTAAACAGTGTTAATGTAATGTGGGTTTTCCTACATGTGATTTTAGCGTTTTCAAAAACTCTATTTTATGCATCTTAAAATCTCTCGTTTAGGAGGTCCGCAGCCTATGGTGATTTGAACATTGGCCAGGTATATCCAAAAAACCAGAGCATGAATGCACACTAACTCCAATTATGTGCTTCTGAAGAGTCTGATTGCTCTTTCTAAATGGGCTGTATGAGGCAGAGAGTCAGGTCTGTCTGGTCTTTGTTGAAGATGATAGTGGGCCCAGGAGAAAAGTGTCTTTTATTTGGGTCTCAATGTACTGAGCTAGGACAACAGAAGCTCTTGTGCTGCAGGGGTTGGTTTTCCAAGGTCAGTTTGAAAATTGAGTCCAAATTAAGTTGTTGCTAAAATGGTTTATGTGAAGAACAGTTCAGAAATGGAGCCAAAATGAAATTCATAATCAGAAAAGCTTAGAATATAAGGGACAACAGCCTGCGTAGATTCAAATGATGTCGTGCAAATGCTTGTTAAGTTTTTTAATTCTCACCTTCCATCCCTTCTTTTGAACGAACTGAGTTTATTTAAAGCAGCTGGGAAGGACATGTAAGCTCTTTAAGAGCAGCAATCATAAATCTTCCATATCTCTGATTCCTTGGTACCCACCAAAATGTTTGTCACATAGTAGGTACAAGAAATACATGTTGAATGAGAAAGAAGTCCCTGGAAGCATCCTCTGGTTTCCAGCTTCATTCTGGCCTCTGGGCTCCCTGCCTATCCCATTCTGTTTCTCTTTTTCTGGTCTCTTCGCTGTGTCTCCTTAGGGTGCAGGCTTAAACGGAGAAGAAACTGGTGTGCCTCAGGTGAGCAAAGATGGCAGAGGAAGTATGGATTTTATCCTTTGAAACAATAACGATGATATTCTTATGTGACTGGAACATCAGTTCTCGAAACAGAAGTTTCAAAAACACTTAAGGCAATCGACACACCACTGGGATATTACTTTTTAATGGGTTATATATATGCTAGTGCATTTATTTAAAAACAAGTTTTATTAAGATATCCATAGCTTTTAAAAATCTTTGAGAGTGCAGGAAAATGCAAAAGGTAGTATCTACTTACAGCTGTACTTGTATGAGGCAAAAGTCAAGATTAGTGGTTGAAATAATGACTCTATTTTATGGATTCAGGTTTTAACTTGGTGTTCTCTCTCTCTCTCTCTCTCTTTTTTTTTTTGTTAGTAGAGTCAGTTCAATCTCTTGAAGTATATTGGCAATGTAAAGGCAAATTCTGGTAGCATAACAATGAAAAGTTCAGGGCAAATAACCAATGGACTGGGTGTTTTCAATACATGTAAGCATCAGATGGCTTCTGGCTGCAAGAAGTCAGTGATATTTTAAAGCCAAGGAAGTGCCTGCCACCCCCAGTAGAAGGCTCCACAAGAAGAGGCTCCCTTACATACTGAGCGTCTAGCACAGTACCTGGCACAGAGGAATCTTCAGAATTATCAAATTGCATAAAAATTTTAATCTTATTTTTCTGTAAACCAACATGATCTTAGTATGAAACTTTGAATCTTCTAAGAGGCAAAAGCATAATTTTAGTCAGTTTTAGGTTTTCTCAAAGCATTTTTGCTTTGCTTTTAATCATTTCCTCATTTTCCCTACACCATCCTTTTTTTTCTCAGAGGGAGCAATTCCCGGGTTACCTATATTCTGTCATGGCATCTCAGTCAGAACAGATACATTGTGTAATATTGTCCATCATTGTGTTGAGGACAGTGTCTCAGTGACTGTTAGTGGGTTGAATGATGTTGGTGGGGAAGCATCACGGTCATCAATCAGCATCCACTATAAGATCATTCCTATTGGGGCATTTCCTTTCTGATCTTCAGGAGTCATTGCTCTTACGCTGCCATTTGCAGCTGAGATGCATGCTCTTTTACCTGGTCTCTAGCTACAAGGTCCACTCTACCACCTGTTCTCCATCCTCATTCCAATCACAAAGCATCTTAGAAAAATATTCTTCTATATACCTCCTGTGCAGATGGGTAAAAGCTAGTAACAAAATGAACATTTGGCTGTTTCCTACTCTTCTTGGGATACAATGGGATTTTGTGAGGTGGCTCAGGATCTTCGACTTGAATATTCCTTTACAGTTGTTTCTGATTTATGCCTTTGTGCTCTTTTGGTGTCAGGGAACTTCTTAAAAGTCTTCGGGTTGGGAGAAGGATGCAAGTTGAAGTGATTCTCGTCAAAGTTTCCTTTTTCTCTTTGTCTACATTTTTTCCTCACTCTTTAACATGAGATTTTTGTTAGAGAAGATGGAGTATAATAGTAACTGGGAAGAAACATGTTCCATTTGACTTGCATATTCTTGTGAATCTTTCCATTCTTATACCTGAACTACAGTTTTTGAATTTAAAAACAAAAATAGGTGTCTGTGCTTTCTTTCCTCATATTCCCTAGAAGTTCTGGAGGTCTCTTATATAACAACTCAAATGTAGAATGATTAGGGTAAAAAGGACCTTCAAGAAAAACCCATTGTTAATAAGTCACTCTATCCTTCAGCAGCAGAGGAAGAAAGATATGTGGCTTTAATAGTAGCAGATATCCTAAAACTTGAATTTTAATTTCTGGCTTGCTACAGGAAAATTTGCAATGAGGTAAAGAGGCTAGTAGCTAGAAATTCCTAAATCAGATTCTAAGAAAACAGGAAAAAATAAAGTGAAGCACAAAGCTCAAAAAAGTACCCCCTGCCTAGTTTAATTGAGATACAGTCAACATATAGCACTGTGTAAGTTTAAGATATACAACATAATGACTTCACTTACATACATTGTGAAATGATTACCACAATAATCACATCCATAATCTCATGTAGCCACAAAAAAAAAAGGAAGAAACATGTTTTCCTTTTGAATTTCCTTGTGAAATTTTGGGATTTACTTCCTAAACAACTTCAAAACATACCATGAAGTAGTAGTAACTATAGTCATCATGTACATTACCTATCCAGTATTTATCTTATAACTGGAAGTTTGTACCTTGTAAAAAAGATCCTTGTGAAAAATTTGTGTCTACAAGATATTTGTGAAAAATGATGCACAGGTTTCTGTTCAATCCAACTCAGTAGCTCTTAATTTTTTTCTCTGTGGTAGTCTTTCTATATACTTTGTTTTTTTTTTCTATAAAATAAGCCAGGGAAGATGAAAAAATGAGATTGGACTTTTATAGCACAAACTATGATACTACATCATATTTAATATAATTTTAAGTGATTGGTTTTCTACTGCTCTATTTTCAAACAGTGTACATGTAATCTAGAAACCTTCACAGAGGTAAGGTCTTTAGCATTTCTGGTAAAACTAATTAAAATATAGCACGTCACTCCTTTGTCAAAACCTCTCAGTATCTTCCTACTCAGAGTAAAAGCCAAGCTCCTCACAATGACTTATAAAGCCCTACCTTTTGTGACCCCAGTTATCTCTGATCTAAATCCTACTACTCCTTACTCATTCCTGTCCAGATTCCCTAGCGTCCTTACTGCTTCTCAAGCACATAGAGTCTAAATATTTGCACTTGCTTGTCCTTAGCCTTACTCCTCCAGGTATCTGCATGGTGTGGGGGAGTCACCTCTTTGAAGTCTTTATTGTCACCTTTCAGTGATTCCTACAGCATCATATTTAAAATACCTTCTCACCTGCTCAGCACTCCCTGTTACCATTTCTTGCTTTGTGTTTATTCATAGCACTTATCATTATCCATCAGGGAGACATTGTGATCTAGCTGTTAGGAGCAAGCGCTTTATAGTCAGACCATTTGAATTTGAATCTAGGTTCTACCATTAATGGGCTGTGTGACTTTGGGGAGATTACTTAGCTCCTCTATATCTCAGTTTCTTCCTCTAAACTGGGATTATCACAAGAATTAAATGCTGGCTTTCTTTCTCAATGAAATCTAAGCTTCAAGAAGGCAAAGATTTTTGTCTATTCTGTTTATTGCCTTTTTTCCAGAATATAGAATGTACCCTGCATTTATTCAAGAATTTGTTAAAAACTTTAGTTATGTTATTTTGCTTAGAGCAATTTTTCCTAAGCACAACTATATTAAAGTTCACTCTATATTTTTAGCAAGGGCCATCTGAATCTTCCCGTGAGAATTAGGCGTATTCTTAGAATATATTCATAGTTCAAGTGACAGTTGATAGAATGACTCACTCATCCATTAATTCTTTTATTTAAATATTAATTGTCTAGAAATAAACCCATGTCTCTATAGCCAATTAGTATTCAACAAAGTGGGCAGGAGTATAAAATGGAATAAAAAGTCTCTTCAATAAATGGTGTTGGGAGATCTGGACAACTACATGCAAAAAAATGAAACTTGACCACCAACTCATACCATACACAAAAATAAACTCATGATGGATAAAAGACTTAAATAAAAGTCACAACACCATAAAAGTCCTAGGGGAGAACATAGGCAGGAAAATTTCAGATATCCCAAGAAGCAATATTTTCACTGAAATGTCCCCTGGAGCAAGGGATATAAAGGCAAGAAAAAACAAATGGGACTATATCAAATTAAAAAGCTTCTGCATAGCTAAAGAAAACATCAGCAAAATGAGAAGCGAACAAACTGTATGGGAAAATATATTTGCCAAGGATACCTCAGATAAGGGTTTAATCTCCAAAATATATGAAGAACTCAAACAGTTCCATACCAGGAAGATAAACAATCCAATTAAAAAATGTGCAAAGGACCTAGACAGACACTTCTCCAATAAGGACATACACAGAATCTGCAGACATAGGAAAGTATGCTCAGCATCACTAACCATCAGAGAGACGCAAATTAAAACCACTTCACACTAGTCAGAATGGCCATCATAAACAAATAATCAAACAACAAGTGCTGGCTAGGTTGTGAAGAAAAGGGAACACTAGTCCACTGTTGGTGGGAATGCAGACTGGTGCAGCCACTGTGAAAAACAGTATGGAATTTCCTCAAAAAACTAAAGATGGAACTGCCTTTTGACCGGGCAATTTCACTGTTTGTTTTATACCCTAAGATTCTTGAAACACCAATTCAAAAGAACCAATGCACCCCAATGTTCATAGCAACATCGTTTACAATAGCCAAGTGCTGGGAACAGCCCAAGTGCCCATCAGTAAATAAATGAGTGGATCAAAAAACTGTGGGACATTTACACAATGGAATACCACACAGCAGAAAAAAGGAACTCATCTTTTGCGACAACATGGATGGACCTGGAGAGTATTTTGCTAAGTGAAATAAACCAGGTGGTAAAAGACAAATACCAAATGATCTCACCTGTAAGTGGAACCTAATCTCAAAACAAACAGGTGAGCAAAATGGAACCAGAGGAATGGAAATAAATAACAAATTGACAGTGACCAAAGGGAGGCGGGAGGGGGACAACGGGGTAAAAAAGGGGAAGGGTTAAGTGAAGGGACATGTATAAAGGACCCCTGGACAAAGACAATGGTGGGGGGGGTTGAATGTGGGAAGTGGGGAGTGGGTAGGGCAGGGAAGAGTAATCAGGGAAAAACTGGGACAACTGTAATTGAACAACAATAAAACAATTAAAAAATGTTAATTGTCTATGTTGCTTTGTTTTGGTAGACTCTGCTAGATACATTCACTAGGAAACACTAAAGCTTAGAAAATATGTAGTTTTCATTGACCCTGACCTCAAGGAACTTGTTCTGTAGTTGAGAGTCTGGACTTCTAAGGGTGAGATATCATCTCATACCTGTCATATTGATTATCATCAATAAATCAACCAACTGGCAAGGATGTGGAGAAAAGGAACCCTAGTGCACTCTTGGTGGGAATGCAGATTGGTGCAGCCACTGTGGAAAGCAGGTTGGAATTTCCTC